CCCCCCCCCCCCTGCTCTCCTGGATGAGTGACGGGAGCTGCTGGACTGGCAGTGGCGAGAGCTGCCCCCCCGCCTCCCCACACCCCCCCAGACAAGCTGTGGCTCTGTGCCGTGCCCACCCCACTCCAGCCGAGCAGCACTTGCTCCAGCCCCTGCCTCAGCCCCACACCTTCCCTCACCACAGGTGGCCTTGATCTGCACCCCCTTCCCTCCTCCCTTCCCCTCCCACCACACCAGACTTACCAGCTGGAGGCAGCTCTCCATACTGCAGGGCTATGCTCCTCACCGCCTGTGCTGTGCTGTAGCTGCACACATGCACAGGCCATTTATTGGCCAAATTATCAGCCTGATATGGCCAATTTCTGATATAGTAAATTTTCTTTATATTGATGACCATCCAATATCGGACCAATGTATCGGTGCACCTCTAATATATATATGTGTGTGTGTGTGTGTGTGTGTGTGTGTGTGTGTGTGTGTGTGTATATATACTTATAATCTGCAGAGTACCCTTAGGAGTGAGAAAAATGCAATGCTTTGGTATTAACACCCTAAATACCTCCTGCACTCCCCCACAAATTCCTACTAATTAAATTCTTACTCTGCTATTCTCTCTGTTTTCCTGGCAGTTGTTTTATATATTTTCACCTGTTTCACTTCCTTTTGTGTTCAAATTACAAATAAAGCTTAACCTTACTTGATTGACAGAAAGGAATAACAATATTTAATTAACATCACTTCATAGCTGACAAATCTTAAGACTCCGCCCAGTTAATAAGGCTCTATGAAAGTATTCCCCCAACATTTTTAAAGGCTTTTTAAGAAAGCTTGGAACATGGTGTTCTTAATTCAAAAGCACATGCCGAGCTAATTATGGTCTTACGCTTTGACCAAAAGTAGGATTTGTGGGATTTTCTTTTTCTTAAGTCAAAGGATTCAAAGGTAATTTATGAATGATACTGAAATAATGTTCGAATTAGCTGCTAGCATGCTGTTAGTTTGGAGCATTCATAACTTTAAAAAAATATATTGTGAGTTGGTGACAAAGTCATAATAACTTGAAATCCTGCTTAGTAATAAAAACTGCATTAACCAAATCATCATAATATTTACAGTCCTCCTATTTGTTTTCAGATTGTTGCTCTTGATCAGGCCACTCTTTTAGAAGGTGCTAACATAGTTTCTACTAATTTAAATAAAGACACTTCCATAGTTTAACCATTACAGAATACAGTCTCAAAAAACTGCTTATAATCAGTCTTATTTTTTTGGAGGTATGATTGGTTTAATTAGTGGTCCATTTCAATCTTACTAGTTATACTGTATGTATTACAACATCTTCAATTTTTATGTGGACCTTTTTGTCATGATCTTTATTAACTGTATATATATATATTTTAAGTCAGTAAAAGATTTAATCATATCTATGTACTCTGTGTATACACATACACACACGCACAGAGACAGGCACAACTAGACAGCAATAATTTGAAAACATATATTTATGTGTTTTGAAATGGTTGTAATCTATTCCTCACTTGTATTTAAAGACAGCATCCATTTCATTTAGATCACTGGTTTCAAATGTAAAGCCACATTCTTAATCAGCTTGGGAACTGGTTGTATGGGAGATTTCTCTTCCTGTGCCATGTTGCCATAATTGAAATGAGCAGAGGCACTCAGTCTGAAAGGGGTGGCTAGCAGCGTTTTCCCCATGTGTGGTCCTTTGTAATATGTTCCCTGTTCTATACAGTCCAAGTCCAAGCAGGCCACTGGCTTTTGGCCTTCCTCACTTCTAATCTTTTCCCACAGGTTCCCCTACCTCTTGTAAATGAATTTTCCTCCTTTTTCTACTTATTTTGGCAACCCATGAGCTTCTTTGCTTATTATTAAAAATTCTCATTAACAAAAATGAATAGTAATTAAGTTGATTTTGAAACACAAAATAAAATTCACAATGCAATTTGTTTAAGGTCGTGGAGGGGGAAGAAAGCTCAAAGTATACAATTGGGAGAAAGTGCTGGACAATTGGACTTTTTTGTGACTCTCTAATCAATTATCCCCATCATGCCACACCTATAAATGCCATTCAAACATCCCTCCCTTTGTGCCAGTATCCTGGGTCAATCACCACCCTAGGACATGCTAAGTTTGAGCAGATGGAGTCCCACCCAAGTCCTCTGGTTCAGGCATCTGGTATGGTGAAAAACAGGATTCTATGCACATAAAGAGCTTATAATTTGTGCCTACAGACAAATATAGCTGAAACTCTACCTTTTATTAAGCTCCATTCATATCCCCTTGTAGCAAGAGGGTCTAAGATGTATTTAGGCTCATGGGAGAAAACGGTGAATTACAGCCAAAGAAACCTGAGAACAAAAGGTAAGTTCCCTATAAAATCACCTTACTCCTTTTAGTAGGCTACTATGATTCATCAGGTTGGTGCTACAGTCAAATAGACCTACATATAAACTGGACTGGAACCATCAAAGTGGATTTTTGCAGTCTGAAGGCCTCTATAAAACTCAAAGTCTGTAACTCCCAGATTGTGTCACAGAGGCTTGAAAATAACTGGAATCTCTAGGGGAAAAAATGATATAGGAATGATGCAAAATCTTTTGGAAATTAGACTCAACAAAAAGAGTCTAAAAAGTGCCTAGAAAAGTAAAGTTAATTTGATTTCTTGAAAACCTCCACGTGTGAAAGTGAGCTCTGTCATTTTTGTTTAACAGATTTATGCCTTATTTAAGTACAAACTGAAACACAGTCTATAGAATGGAGCTATTGGGATGTCTACATTTTTAATATTGTACTTGATCTTTTGCTAGGCTTTGTAAAATTATCTATAGGACTCTTTAGGCAAAGAAATAACTTTCTATTAAATGCTATAGGAATAGGTTATCTTTTTCTATTAAGTGGAATGGAACCTTATGAACCACTGCCTCTCTGATTTACACCCAGAATTATCTAGCATGAATCCTTTCACACCTACTCTGTCCACAATTCTCACACCACTTACCACACAGTCTCCATGCAGCAGAGCAAATTTGACAAAAATAGTATACATGGCTTAGTATCCTAGTCTGTCATTTTACCAGATCTAAAAAGACACCATATAAAATATAAGATGCCCATTTACTGGAGATATAATTTCAAAATAATTTGTATTGTGGATACTATCATAGTTTCAGATATTGTGAAAAATATCTTTAAGATTAATTATCTCTTCGGATGAGAAACAAGGCCAGAGCAGTCAATGGTATATCCAATACTGATTTTGTTGCTACTACAATGCAGGAAAATAGATCATCTTTTAAAACTAAGGAAAAGTCCATTCGGCTTCTCAAAAGTCAAAGTGTTTCAGTTTCAATGATCAAAAGTGAAGAGAGTAAAAGAAGCCCAAATTGAAACTTGTGAGTGCTTGGAACATGCAGTCTGCATCCTGTGAAAAGTTATATGGTCATACACTGTATCTCATGATCTTCTACAGAAAGCAATGGAAACACATTAGAAAGTGTCATACGGTTTGAACAGAGAAGTCTGGCATTGGAGCGGTCCATAGATCTCACTGAAAAGGTAGAAATTTAGCAGGACAAAATTACAATAAAAGTTTATCAAAATATATATATATATATATACACACACACACACACACACATATACACAGTATATATATATGGAACAGCATATGAGATCTAGTGGATTGTCAAGCAGCAAGCAGTGGTATCATATTTACCTGATTTTTTTAGCGATTTCATAGGCAAGTCTATGTTACAATGAATAGCTGAAAACCCCTGCAAAACATGAAAATTATTTCACTGCATGCAGTGCCTGTATAAGAAAAAATTTAACAGCTGAAGAAAAATAACTGAAGTGAAAGGAAGAAAAAAGTCAAATGGTTTTCAAAACATTTGGTTTAAAATAATCTGAAAATTGAATTAATTAAACAATGATATTACTGTTTTAATATCTTTTACCTTTTAATCACAATAGCAAACAAGACACTTATTGATAGTAAATGGTTTTAGAGAAAAATACAATAGATTCAGAGTATCTGGTATATTTATTTAAAGTAAATCACAGTTTAGAAATTCCACTGGAAATGGTTTCAATTATAAAGACCTGAAAGGTTAGTTGTTAAAACAGAGATCAATTTTGCTTTTAAATCCCTTGCTTTTAATATTTTAATACAAGCTTAAAGGTTAACCAAAACTACTGGAAATACAGGATATATATGATAGACTGAAATAGAAGAAAGGAAAAGGAATAAGACTTAAGAATAAAAAGGGAAGTATGAAGGCTGAGTATTTAGACTTTTGTGCCTCTTTTAATCTGTCTGGCACATCAACGCTAAATTTTTAGGTGCTTTAGAATACAAATGCACATGTAGCAGATTTATAAATATATATCAGCAAAAGCATAAATCAAAAAGAATATTAGTAGACACTAGGTACCTTTTTTGTTGAGACATAACAGAGAAAGATTGTCAACAATCTGAAAATATTTCAGATGGTGACCCCTCTTCTCCCACTCAATAATCTCAGTCTTATGCTTGAATAGATCAAGGAGAGAAAGGCTTATTGATTATTCAGTCAGTGATGTCTCTTGGATAAACACAGAAAAGGTTTACCACAGAAAACTATCTACAATGAACTCAAGATAATTAGGGGAAAGGAAGTGACAAAGAACTCTTCGTTCAACTGCTAGAGAAGTTACTGTATTTCCAAACCAGAAAAACCAATTATTCAACCCTTTCCTCCTCCATTTCCTATATTGCTTCCTTCTTCTAAGGAACAAGGGATCTTTTTACACAGATGTGGTAGTCTTACTTTCTTTTCTATTTTCTGCCTTTAAGTGAATTTATTGCTCATGCCAGGTTGACAGCCGTAGAAACTGAAAGGCCTCCATTTACCCACAGAACAGACACTGTTCTACCAAACCAAGCCTTCTCACATTACTTCACCAATCTACATCAATCCTGATCCAGAAAAACTGTTTCCAGGAGCAAGAAAGTAGGTTAGCCTCCATTCCTACTCAGTGCTTAGCCTCCTTGCTGAGGCTGCCAACAAGTATACCAATTAGTTCCAGTAAATACCAGTAATTATAAGCTTTTTACTGTGGACACATACTTGCTCAGAATTAGACTGAAATCTTCAACTAACTTCAAACAGATCATCTAACAGGCATTGGGCTTAACGACTCCACTACTTTATTGACCTGGCTAGGTTTGAGAGACCTTCAGATGACGCACTCTATTTTATGACAAGTTCCCCGAAGATCTGAAAAAAGCATATAATTTCAAGTGAAGAAATGAGAATTTACTTAAACCATATCATTCTCTTAAACAGAATTATATTATAAATGCTGTATGGTACAGATACAGAGTAGAGCTAACTACCAAAAGTATATGCAACCCCACCAAACTACAACCAATTCTTAGTTGCATCTCTTAATTGGGCTTCCACAGTTAATTCTCTGTACAAACTGAGCGTGTTTGTACAGGTAAGATACCACATAGGAAAGAAACACATTTACAATTCAACATTTCAACTGCACCCCTCTGTATGCAAAAGCTTTATTATTAGCATTTGCTGTTTATTACATAGCACTGTAATCATAGACGTTTGATTTACACTATGTTTGGGGATTTTTTTTATATATTAAAGCAGACCTGAAGCATGTTAAAGAACTTAAGCAAAGGGGTTTCACAGAAGAAAGTATCTATAGCAAGATAGAGTGTTAGGTACCAAACCTGAGCCAAAGGTATTCTGGTGTCTGACAAGAAATATCAGCACAAAAGGTAAAAGGTAGAAAGAGGGGAAAAGAGTTGCTACATATGGTTGTCACCAAGGCAACCTTTTAAAAAAATCAACAGAAATTGCTGCCTAAATAGCCAATAAATTGCTCTGTAGCTCTGTTGTGCCTTGCAATAGAACTAATGCATGCGTTTTAACAGTAAGATACTTCCCAGAGGGTCCTGACCAGACCTATTATTTTACCACTATGGATTATTACAAAGCTGTCCAAAGTAATCCACTATCGTTACAAGATGTAAATTACAGTTAAAAAGAACTCTGTTTAAACCAAAATACATGATTTTGCTACCAGATCCACTATAAATTCCCTACGCTCCAATCTTACTCTAGTCCAAACTCAGAAGAAAAAAGTTCAGTGGCACATGTCCCATAGAAATCAGACTTCTAACACTGTTGACCAACACCACATAAGAAGTAATAAAATGTAACCATCTGTTCCACAATCAACATGCGCTGACCCACAGAATGGTCTTCTTGCACTTGAGAGAGAGTATTTGCTGGGTAAGTGAAGAGGAAAATCTGTATCCATCAGCTCTTGGCATCTAGGCTTTATGGCAAAGGTCTGACAAACATGTGATTGGGCAACACTATGACACCCTGGCAGATAATATTGCAGAACAGCCACACATTGACTGGGTGAGAAGGATTCTTTGCTAAGAACTTTCCTTTCCTGAGATTCTGCACCCGGGGCCTACTGGTGCTATGATATGAGGCCACAAGTGCTCAGGATTTAAGCTGAAGAAAACAATAGACAAAAAAAATACAGAAAATTTCTCCAGTCATGCTTTCCAGTTCACAAGCAAATGGACACTTTCAAAACCATTACTGGACAAGGTCTAGAACAGGAGGTCCTAAACTGAGGTACATGTACCCCTAGGGATATGCAAGACTATTCTGGGGGATAAGTAGGAGAAATTGTGTAACGGCAGATTTAATTTTCATTATAATAATAATTGGCATTTAAGGGGTTAAAATATAAACCACACGCTGGTAAGGGTACACAGACAGCTGGTAAATCTGGAAGGGGGTACACAATAAGAAAATGTTTGGGAACCTTTGGTCTACAACACACCGGAAAAAATGCAAATGATGATACAAGATGAAGTTCAGCAAGGACAAATGCAAACGCCTGCACTTGGGATAGACTAATTGCAAGCACAAATATAGACTGGGGAATTACTGGCTAGGATACAATACTGCAGAGAAGGACCTGGGGGTTACAGTGGAGCATAATCTGAATCTGAGCCAACAGTATGCTTGTTGCAAAAAATACCAACAGCATACTGGGTTGTATTAACAAGACTGTTGCTTGCAAATTCAGAGAAGTGATTCTTCTGCACTATTCAGCTCTGGTGAGGCCTCACCTGGAGTACTGTGTCCAGTTTTGGGCCTTGCACTTCAAGAAGGACATGGATAGTTTGGAAAACGCCCAGCACAGAGCAACAGACATGATTAAGAGTCTGGGAAGCAAGACCTATGGAGGAAAGGCTGAAAGAACTAGGGTTATTTAGTCTGGAAATGAGAAGACCAAGGCGGGATTTGATAACAGTCTTCAAACACCTGAAGGGCTATTAAAGAGCAGATAGTGTTTCTCTGTGGCCATAGGGACAGGACTAGGAGCAAAGGCCTCAAGCTACAGCAGAAGAAATTTAGGCTGGAGATTAAGAGGAACTTGCTATGAGGGCAGTGACGCATTGGAACAGGCTACCTAGAGAAATTGTAAAATCTTGATCCTTGGAAATTTTCAAGAACACATTGGACAGACACTTGGCCAGGATGTATGTGTTAATCAAGGATTATCCTGCCTGATCGGGGGGGGCTGGAATAGATGATCCTATGAGGTCCCTTCCAGCCCTACCTTCCCTATGATCCTATGAAAAATGGACAATAGCAGTATCTAGCCCTCAAAGACCTGGCCACAGCTGCCACATTTGTGCCTGCAACAGCTACTTGCAAGCAGTAAGGTCAAATTGCATGACGGGAGTGCAAGGAAGGAGAGTAGGTTTGGAGGAGGTTCTACCTACATGTTCAGAAATCTCTGGCTGGTCACGGGGAAAAAAGTACTACCACATGTTGTGGCTCCTCATTGTGGAGACTGAGGAAAAATCCCCTCTGCCAATGAGGGTTGGCCTATTCCTCTCATGCATGGGGTGGCAGCCGTGCACCTATTGTCTTTACTATGGTAATAAGTAGCCTTTCCTAAGTGGTGTGTCTTCAGCCATAGTTAATGTTGCCTTGGGAAACCTCAACATCCATATATTTTTCCTGGCCTTTATCCACAGCTTTTACAGACAAAAATGTACCTCAGTAAGCCAGGCACTCAACTGACCGAACAAAACCACACTTCCATGTTGTGTGTTTATTTCTCTCCTAATGGATCTGTGCCCAACATCTCCTCTGCTCATTCAGAGACTCAGGTCACCATGCTGCATGTCCAGCCATGGAAATTGTTCAGAGGTTTGCTAGCCTTTTGTACCTAACTCCCTTCTTCCATTCCACATATCCACTGGATGCACCAGGCCCCAAAGTGACCATTTTGGCCCCAAACTGTAGCTCCTAACAGTATTTAAAATAGACACTGCAGTCAGACAGTCATGATTACCTTCTGAGTCTGTTGAATTATACAGAGAAGTACTGAGAAAGGATGTACTCAATAAATTCCAGCCTTTTGTATACGTTGGTCAGATGGTGTTTACCAAGCCCCCTGCGGGAAAGGGATGTGTAGCATTAAGGATTTATTCTTCTTTTAGTGACGAGAGATTTACTGTCAAAATCATTGTATACAGAGAAAAAAAAAACGTTTTTGGTGTAAAGTTTAATACTGAAACCTCATCATACAAAGTATTTCAGAATAAGGTGTGGTCCAGCAGTTCTAATCACAGGTCTCACATTGACTACTTTCTGACATTGAGTAAATACTAACTAAACCCAGCTGTAAAAAGGAGATTAATTATTATATCTGCTCTAGTATCCTTGTC